AAAAAAGACTCCTGCCTAAGTCAGATCCCGAGCGAAAGCAATGCAGTTAAAGCCATGCCCTGCCTTTGGGTTTCTCTCAACTGCCAGGGAGCCCTGGTGCCGTAGTGATTACTCATTGGGCTGATAACCTCAGGGTCAGCAGTTCAAAACCACAAGACAGACCACAGTAGAAAGAGGAGGCTTTGTACTCCTGTAAAGAGTTACAGTCTTAGAAACTCACAAGGGCAGTTCTACTCCATCCTATGAGTCAGAATTGAGTTGATAGCAATGGCTTTGGTGGTTTGCAAACTTTGCTGTACATTAGAACCACCTGGGGAATGCTTTTTAAAAATCTGATGTCTTGATCACACCCATACAGTTTAAATCAAAATGTCTGTAGGCTGGAGTCAAAATTAGCATTTTTTAATAAATCCTTAGGTAACCCCAACTTGCACCATAGTTTGAGCCACTGATGTCAAGCCAGCAGCATTGGGCAGCATTCTGTTCTCCAGGGAGCAAGACAATCTTCTCCATTGCCTTTATTCAACAAGATTTTTAAGCACTTGTTAAATTGAGGTTTCTCTACTCCCATAAAGAGTTACAGTCTCAGAAATCTACAGGTCACTATGTGTCAGAATCAACTCAATGGCAGTGAATGAGTGATATAAAGAGGCATAGTAGTTATAAGTTAGCTTTCTAATCCTGTAAAGAGTTACAGTTTTGGAAACACAAAGGCGCCGTTCTACTCAGTCACGTAGAGTTGCTGTGAGTCAGAAGAAGCTCAATGGCAGTAAGTTTTGGGTATTGGTGCTGTATAAAGAAAGCATACATGGATCATAATAAATTATGGATAACGTTTCACACGATGGAAACTCCAGCACACTTTTTGTGCTCCCGTGGTACATAGACCTGCAGGGAGTAGTTCAAACAGAACAAGTCAATACTTCTTGGGAGAAACATCAGGAAGGGTGTGTGTTGGGGTTGTGTCTTTTCACCCTACGTAGTCAAGCTGCATGCTAAGCATATCATCTGGGAACTGGGCTGTAGGAAGAGGAACACGGCACAAGAATCGAAGGAAAGTTGTTAACCACCAGCAATATGCAGACGATCCAACTGTTTGGTTTGAAAGTAAAGAAGAGGTGAAGCATTTACTGGTACATATCCAAGGCTGTGGACTTCAGTGTGGAGTATACCTCACCATAAGATCGCAAGCCTCACAACTGGACCAATGAGCAACACAACAGAGCAAATATCGAAGAAGGTTTTCATGTTATTTGTACCCACAACCAACACTGGTGGAAGTTGCTGCTATTGTTCAGCACAACACAAGGAAACACTATCTTTATCCTGCACCATCTCGCGATGCTCACATTTGAGCCCATTGTTGCAGCCTACCTTGCTGATAAGTCTTTTTCTTTGTTTATTGCCCCTCCACTTTACTAACCATCATGCCCTTTTCCAGGGATTAGTCTCTCCTGATAAAAATTACATGAGACAAAATCTTGCCACCCTTATCTGGGAGGAGCATTCTGGCTGTACTTCTCCCAAGACAGAAGCAGCTGTGAGGAAGTCAAGTGACGTATTGCATTGAGCACAGCTGCTGCACAAGGTTTTCCTCAAAGGCTAAAATGCAAAGATGTCACTTTGAAGACTAAAGAGCACCTCATCCAAGACTGGTATTTCCGGTCACCTCGCGTGTGTGAAAACTGAACGGGGAACCAGGAAAACTGAAGAGCTGAGACCTTTGAATCATGGTGCTGGTGAAGCATATTGACAATGT